GAATGGAATGGAATGGAATGGAATAGAATAGAATAGAATAGAATAGAATAGAATAGAATAGAATAGAATAACAAAGTTGAAAGGGACCTTGGAGGTCTTCTATTCCAAACCCCTGCTTAGGCCGGAAACAATATCATTGATTAGTTTCCTTCCATTGCTTCTTGTCCTGCCTTCATGTGCTTTGGAGAATAGCTTGACTGCCTCTTCTTTGTGGCAATCCTTGATATACAGATAATTACATATAATGGACCTTGTGGAACAGACTTAACAACTGAAATTTTGGGCTTAATTGTAGTCTTAAGTTGAGGACTAACTTTATCTGGTCACCCACAGATTCCTTACCTCTGAAGCACAGGGTTCTATTTCAAGTGTCATCCTCACACACCGTTATGAAAATAAATGCAGCGCTATGCCAAATACTTGTCTAAAATTGTCTAATTTAGGATCCTTTTATAAGGAAAAGGGTTTTTTTTCCTGATAAAATAGGTCATTTCAGTTATTACAAGTCCAATCAGCACTCTAAGAAGGGTATAATAAGCAGATCACAATGTATGTTCTGGAAGAACAGAAATAAACTATGTTCAAACCCACTCATATTATCTAGGAATATAGAAAGCTGTCTGGTACTGAGTCAAATCCCTGATCCACCTATTATAGTATTATCAGTACTGATTGATAGTGGCTCTCTAGGATTCTAACTGGTTGAACTTGGGACCTCATGAAAATGATATGCTAGCTAGTATAGACATGAGGGTGGAGCTGTGGACAAGTGGTTCAAGAAGGTGAATATCTCAGCAGAAAAATAGCCATCCCTTGAAATCAAATTACAGAGTATGTTTTTATGGTGTTATTCTATTTTCCTCTCCCATGAAATACCCTTCTTGGCTCCAATTCTGAAGAACAAATGTTTATCCCCCATTTGACACTTCCGTCAATTATTACTTTACTGAAACAGTTCAATAGATAATAAATGTTCAGTAACTCATAGAATTAACTGATTTAGCCAAGTTTCTGTACCACACCCCACTATCTAAGCTTCTCCATTCCAGGCTACTACATTTGTGGGAGTTTTATGAGGTTTCTGATTGGGACAGGCCTTTCAGTTTAATTCTTTAGCTAAGCTATGCACATGCAAGAATATACTGTATTATTGATTACTTTCACTTATTATTAAGCTTAGAAGTATTACAAATTTCTGCTACATAAGAGAAGGGATAGAATTGAAGTAATCCTCAATACTGAAATTGAGAGGAATAACTGAGGTTACTGCAACATAGATATATTTTCTGTTCATTGTGTCATTTGCATCGTGTCATTTGCATCTCCAGTCTAATGCAGATATGTTGGACAATAAATAAATATGAATTCTTGAGTAAACTTCAGCAGTCATGGGAAAAGGAGTCTTCTTGGGTTGATGCCATTGATTAAATACAAAATATGTTTGTGGGGGATGAGAATCAACAGAACATTTTCACAATGTAGCTGGATAAACAGTTGAATCCATCAAATGTTCTATATTAGTACTGGTTATTCAATTTTTTTTGGACTATATAAGCCATTAGCACTTAGATATGAACTATGAACTGCTGATATATAACTTTTCATTCAGAATAGTGAAAGTAAGCTGAATAAAAGTTTCCTTCTATCTAAGTGAAAGGAGAACATGTGTTAAATGTTCAGTGTCATTAAATGTCAAATGAAATGCATTAGGGCATGGGTGTCAAACTCACAATGTCACATTGTCATCACATGACATATCATGACTTTTTTCCCTTTTGCTAAACCGGGGGTGGCCATAGCCAGCTCATGACACATCCAGCCTGCAGGCCACCAGTTTGACATGCCTGCATTAGAGTATAAAGTCCCATCTCCCAATCATATTTTCACACAGGGATTTCACTAATGGGAACTGTTTAGAAGATTAGCTCGAGATCACTAATATCTTCCATTTAATATCTAGAAGTAGAATCAGGTCTGGAAACACCCCTGATGATAATTGGGAATGGAAAAAATAAAATTGCCACTGTCATAAATTTATATAATTTTAAGGCACAACCATACTTAGGTTATTGAGTTCTTTGTAGTCAACCTCAAAGGTATCAGAGAGCTGCCTTCTCTATAATAGACAAAAAGGAGTAATCAAAATGATCAGAAGATTTGTGTAGGTAATTAATTTATGGAAAAAGATGTCCTAATGGCTAGTGTTTCAGAGGATTTTAAAAGAAATTAACAGAGGAGTTTATTATAATTCTTACAATAACAGAGTTGCTAATTCTATTTGTGGCTTTTTAACAGTGTTTTATCTGATCTAACAATTCCTTGATTTGCCAGTCTGAATATAATAAAGGCTCTAGGATGTTCCTAAACTCTTACATTAGAATCTGTTACCATTGGCTTCGCTAGATGATCTACAGAAACTAACAGATCAGCAAGGTTCTGTTCTTGAAAAATCAGTCAATGTCTTAGTGGATAAATGAGTTGGGAATGCTAATTCAGTCCTTAGGGAGCAAGGCTAGATTACTTTCAATCTCACTACTTATCAATTCACCCCCTGCCTCCATATTTGAATGACATGGGAATGAGCAAAAAGAAGTTTCGTCTTATAGTGCAAATACTTTTTAAAAATACGTTTACTGCATTTTTGGAGTTGCCACCCGCATTCAAAGGCACCTAGAAAAACTGGGTTTGGGGACAGAATTCTTCCCTTGGGCTGACTAGCTGGTTCCACAAGAAACTGCCATCATTTATTCCGATACTAATTAGTACACACCTAGTTAAGTGTAACATGTTGTTCTCAGTTCAATCTACTCACAAAGCAGTTAAAACTTTCACGGTAGTTCTCTACAATATTTGTAGTATTAAAGATTATTGTACCCTATGACTGTCATTAAGTGTTGTACCTTATGATTCTTGACTCTTTGACGAATGTATCTTTTATTTAATGTATACTGAGAGCATTTGCACCAAGACAAATTCCTTGTGTGTCCAATCACACCTGGCCAATAAAGAATGCTATTCTATTAACTGAACTGTTTCTTAACATCAATAAATATCTAAACAGAAGCATTGAATATTAAGCATTTCTTTGATAGTAGGTTGTAGATAGTAGAAACCAGAGGAACCAATATTAATGGGGAACAAACTTGTCACTGAAAAGTGTGAGAATATTTGCAAAGTATAAAAGTAATCTCCTCTTGGAAAATGTGTCATGAGATGTATATAAATAACATTCTTAGAGATTCCTAAGCTTCAGCCTTGAATTTGGGAGTTGAGCCAAATCCTAATACTATTGGCATTAATTTCTTATTCAGTTATAAAAGATTCTGCTGGGACTACAAAGACTTCTCTGGATCAATTTTTCCATCATCATATTTCTGCCTCTTTGAGGGGATCCTTGGTGCTTTCTGAGCTTGGTTGTTTTCTTGCAGACATTTCATTACCAAACTAGGTAACATCATCAGTGCTAATGTTACCTACTTTGGGTAATGAAATGTCTGCAAGAAAACAACTAAGTTCAGGAAGCACCAATTACCCCTCACTTCAATTCTGATCTACAAATATTTTATTCTATTCTGTTCTATTCTATCCTATTTGCTGTGGTTATAACCTGCTCCTCTCAATCCCGAACTATAAAGCAGGAGCAATATAATGTTTATATTCTGAGTATACAAGGAATCCTGGACTTACAACTGTAATGGAGCCTGCCTGCCCATGATGGTCATAAGTTGTGACAGTTGTAAAGCGGGCAGTCCATATGACTGACCTAATTTTTAAAAGTATTTTTGTGATTGTTGTTAAGCGAATTCAGTGGTTGTAAAGTGAACACCATTGTCATTAAACCAATGCAACAATTGTTAAGGTAACCCATGGTTTGCTCTGAGGCGTATTAACTGAAAATCAGAAGCAAATAAATGTTTTTGGCAAAGAATCATAAATCACAGTCATATGACCTAGGATGCTGAAATGAGCCATGGTGGCATAGTTAAGAGCTGTGGTGGCACAGTGATTAGAAGAATGCAGTATTGTCTACAGGCTAATTGTGTTGACTGCCAACAGTTCTGCAGTTCAATTCTCACTGGCTGAAGGTTGACTCAGCCTTTCATCCTTTTGAGGTTGGTAAAATAAGGACCCTGATTGTTTGGGGCAATATGCTGACTCTGTAAACCACTTAAGAGAGAGCTGTGAAGCAGTACATAAGTCCAAGTGCTATTGCTAAATGGCCATTAATGCAGGCCATTTCCTGAGCTCCCAAAAAGCGGTCAGGTGGTAGCAGGGGGTGCAGCCTTCAGAACATCATAATGAGGACATAAGTGCCTTCTGGGGAGGGGGATGGCACTAAACAAGTGATCATAAGTCAAGGACTATTTGCATAAAGATGTAAATATTCTTTGCCCATCCTGTTTTAAAATACACCTGTTTTCACAAGTCATTTGTACTTTCTACCTTGTTCTGGATATGGCTGCAACTAATGAAGGAAGATACATTCATAATTCATTTGCCTCAAGTAAAACTGTTCTGCACTACCATTTTTGGAAGTATGACTTCACAATGGTCAAGACACTTATTTGACATGGAAAAAAAACTTCTCTTGACATGCTGGTGTTGGTAGATTTTGTGATTCTGATGCATGCTTATAAGGTTTCTTAAGAAAGCCTTATTTATACATTCTTTTCCAATGAGGGAATTATTATACAAGCCAAATCTCCCACAGCTTTCTTTTATGTACACATTTAAAGCAATCCCTCTCCACCCCAAATATTCCTTTACTTCATTTTTCCTCAACCCTATTTCTTCATTATGGATGACACCTGCTCTATTTTGGAGTCTGTTGCTCATTCTTTGTACTTGCACACATATGCACATGTGAGAAACAAAAAATTACATTTCCTTTGGTTGATGGGGACTTAAAGCTAGAAGTGCATCCATATAATTCAATTACTTGTATGTTTACAGCTATTGAAGTATAGTCTGCAGTTGTATGGAAAACTGAGCCAAATTACCTGTTGCACACAGGACTTTGCGTTGAGGAAAAAGAGTTCAACTGTGGTCTTATCCTTCAGAAACGAAATGCTTTCTATGTAAAATCTAAAAGAAATGGAAAGAGGAATAATTTTATTGCCTTGTAATCGTGCAGTTCTAAATCAAAGGTTAAAAGCCAATGTTGTACTGCAAATCAGTTCAATTAATCCAACAATACTACGCAAAAACATTAGTACAATACGTAAAACAAAGGGGAAGGTTTATCAAACATATGTATTGTAAAAATCAGAATGCTGTTTGAGTCAGCAAGAAAATTCAATCCCCAAAAGTATTTTTCAATGAAACCATAAGGTATCACTGCAATAAAAAGTTGCAAGCTGAAAGTACCTATCCATATTACACCCACTTTTTAAAAGAGAGAGTAATCAAGTTGCCTACAAAATACATTTTTTTGATATTGTTGAGTATCTGATTTTTGAAATGTTTAGCAGAAATATACTGTAATAGATAAGAACAAATAGAAGAAAGAAGGGACAAGCTAGATTTAGAGAGATGCCATACCTATTAGGCTGCTTCATTTGGTAAATTCTGGGTAAAGGTTTTAGCAATATATCATGCTGACACCAGATGTTTTTCGTGGTAACTTAGCAGTAAGCTAGTTTATTTAAGACCCTGTTCTTATTAAGCTGAAAACCCAGATATTGAGTTTAGATCTGCTTATCTGGTCTCTTTACTTTCAAACAATAATCACATGGAGATTTGTACTACTAGACCTACGGTGACTTTAGGAGACAGCTAATTTGAAATTGGGAACAGAAAACAGCACTCAAAGGGAAAGCAGTTTTGGTAATTCTGCAAATTAAAAAGAGGAACTCTAGGCTATAACATTCAAAATATACATCCAAATTTGTATGTAGCAATTCTTATTCACTGCACTATTATTTGCACCTGCTGAGAAGTCATTTTCAAAAGTGAAAATTATAAAAAGTTATCCATTCTCTTTCATAGCTGAAGGTGCTGGATTAGCGATGATCTCAACTGAAAATAACATTGGAAAGGCATTGGATGAAAGTGATCTCATGGAAGAGTTTTCATCTAAAAGATCTCAAAAAGTTTCATGTCTGTAACTATTGCTATTATTGTTATTAAGTTGTCAGTTTGTGTTCTCTTCAGATAGCAGATGAAGATGTAAAAATAAGATGAAGTCCTAATCATGAATATAAATACTGAAGAACATAATTTATTGCTTTGCTCTTTTCTTTCATTTAGGAAATTTGATAACTGTGGCTATGCCACATATTGAGAATTCTTAGGATAAAATCAGATATATCAGGAACAGTGCTGATAGGTTATAAAAAGAGTTGCACAATTGCCCGGGGCCAAAAAACTCTAAGGCCACCAATGGATATAATCAAGTGCTTTCCTAATTATCATATCACAAATATTCTCCAAGACTTCCAAATATTCCACATTTGGAAGACTGCATCCAGTTTGGGTCACCACAAAACAAAAAAGATGCTGATGCCTAAAAAGAGTGCAGAGAAGAGCAACAAACATAATAAGGAGTCTGGAGGCTAAACTGAACGGATAAGTCAACTAGGCTCGTTTAGCCTAACAAAGAGAAGGCTTAGGGCAGGGGTGTGAAACGCAAGGCCCGCAGGCCACATGCGGCCCACAGGGTGCTTAGATCTGGCCCACAGGCCCTCCCTGGAAACAGCGAAGGACTGGCACATGGTGCCTCTGCCAGTGAAAACAGAGCTCGGGAGGGGCGTGGGCATCCTCTCTAAGCTCCGTTTTTGCTGGCAGAGGATTGTAGGAGGCCATCAGGCTTAACGCGGAGCCAGGGTGGCCGTGTGCGGCCTCCAAGTTCCATTTTCACTAGCAGAGGATTCTTGGACTGAAAATGGAGGCTAGGCTGGCTGTGAATAGACTCCCCGAGCTCATTTTCAATGGCAGAGGATGCAGGAGGCCATCGTGGCTGAAAACAGAGCCTCAAGGAGTGATGTCGAGCTGGCCACACACCCTCTGGCCAACCCCACCCAAAGTAAAATACAACCCTGATGCAGCCCTCAATAAAATCGAGTTTGACACCCCTGGCTTAGGGGATGACATGCTAGCCATTTTCCAACCCCTGAAGGGCTGTCACAGGGAAGAGGGGATTGACTTGTTCTCCAAAACACCTGAGAGCAGGACAAGAAGCAATGGATGAAAGCTTGTCAGAGGGAGAGCCAAGCTGGAAATAAGGAATAATTTCCTGACAGTGAGAACGATTGATTAATGCAATAGTTTGCCATTCACAGTTGTGGGTGCTCCATTACTGGAGGTTTTCAAGTAAAGATTAGACAACCATTTATCCAGGATGGAATAAGGACTCTTGCCTTGAGTAGTGATTTGGACTGGAAGACCTCCAAGGTCCCTTCCAGCCTTATGATTCTATGATTCTGGGAGATTAACATCACATCAACATTGATTTCATTTCAGTATGTGAATTCTGGGGTTCTAAAGCTTGCTTCTCTTTCTGCAGATGTTTCCTTGCCAGACTAGGTAATATCATCAATGGATAGAGGTGATGCTTGGGGTAGAATTTTGCTGCATATATGTAGTACCTTGTCTTACCAGCATTTGCTGAAGTAATTTTTCTTCCCTGGTTGTTTTTTGGTTGGCACATATCCCGAAGCTTTGACAATAGTTCTTTTTCTATGGTGTTATTATTTTATTGTCTGTGCTGGAACCTTTAAAATATGGAGTTTGGAGGGAGATATTTTAGAGCACCTCCATCCAGGGGTGGGATTCTATAGGTTTTCACCTATTCACTAGAACCGGTTGTTAACTTTCTAAGCAGTTTGGAGAACCGGTTGTTAGAAGAAATCTTTTGTTTTTTTCCACCCTTCTTGCATTCTGGGCAGTATGCCTAGACTTACTGTCTCCAAAGGAGGTTTTTTTTTTCCTTTGCTGGTACTTTCTTAAAGGGGAAGGGTTGTTTTAAGCTTTTTACACTGCTGTTGGGAGAAAATAGTCCCCTGTTGGAGTTAGCACTTTGCAGAAATAATTGAATAACGAAGCAGAGCTGCCGGAAATAAGCTTTTAATGACAAGGAACCAAGATGAGTGACATTCAGCAAGGCTTCTTGGCTAGCTAGAAAGATTGACATTCAAATGTGAATTTACATACCCTTTTTGAGTTTTGGTTTAAAACTGGTGACCATTCAAAGTTACAATAGTACTGAAAAAGTGACTTATGACCATTTTTCATACTTACGACCGTTGCAGCATCCCCACTGTCATGTGGCCAGGCGAGGATGTAAGTGATGTGAGTGATGTTGAGTTGGCCACACCCACCCAGTCACATGACCAGCAAGCCACACCCACCAACTAAGTCATGCCCACAGAACCGGTTGTTAAAAAAATTGAATCCCACTCCTGACTCCAACCCTCTGAACATGTGAAGCTACAACACATACGGAAGAAGGAAGTTCCTCAAAAGGTTGTCTTTAAACTGCACTTCAAAAAGAAGTAAAAACAGTAGCATACTGAGTCATAATCTTAAGGCTTAAATATAAAAATTACCACATTTGATGACATAGAATACTAGTTTGGAAGTGATAGGGAGATGTGACAAATACATGTTCATGCAAATGTCATCCTGTTAATTTTTTTTTTTTTTAGTTTGTCCTACTTATTTTCATTGATAATAAACAAAAACCCATTAATTCTTTTAAAAAACAACAACAATTGAAATTCCACAATGCAAATATATTTTGCATTGCATAACCATATTTACCTGACTGCAAAAAACAAAGTTGCCGGACCTGGTTTCTTAGGTAAATCATGATCCAGAACTCTGTGGTCTAACTGTAGCCAGACATTGTGACCCCTGAAAAATTTCAAAACAGAACAGTAAACATAAGAAACCAATGCTTTTAATTCACACAGTTGAGACTATTTTTCTAGAAATGAAGTTGGCTAACTCTTCTATTTTCCTCATTTCATTTATTTCCTGCCTTCATTGCAAGCGGAGATAATGTAGCATTTAGAAAGATGCAGGAAAGTGCAATCATACTCTTCCTCTTGATTAAGACCCAGTTAATGAGCTGTAATACAGGGAGACCTCTACCTTCAGCCAATCGTTTAGTGACTATTTGAAGTTACAACAGCACTGAAAAAGTGACTTATGACCAGTCTTCGCACCTATGACTGTCACAGTATCCTAATGGTCATGCAGTCAAAATTCAGGCGCTTGGCAACTGGCGTGTATTTACTGTATGATGATTGCAGCATCCCTGGATCACGTGATTGCCATTAGTGATCTTCCCAGCCATCTTCTGACAGGCAAAGTCAATGGGAGAAGCTGAATTTGCTTAACAACTGCATGATTCACTTAACAACTGTAGTGATTCACCTAACAACTGCAGCAAAAAAAAGGTTATACAATCAGACATGATTCAGTAATAACTGCTTAGCAATGGAAAATCTGGTTCCAACTATGATTGTAATCAAGGACTACCTTTAGGATTGTGAACAGGGGCCAGAATGATATATAGGAGTAATAATTGCCACAGACATAATTGGTACAGTTTTCTTAGAGAGTCTAAAGTGGCAGCCGACTGTCCATTAAAATACAAGCTGTATTAATAGTAGTTCCAAATGTGATCAGAGACTCGAGATATAATAAACTGATTATCAAATGTTTATAAACTGGTTTCCAAATTGTTTGTACCACTTAACCACTTCTTAACTGATTGACAATATTGCTGTCTTCATGAAAAAAAAAGAAATTAGTTCAATTGAATTAAAACTAGAACTGTTCTTATTAGGTATAAGAGGACCTAACGTCCTAGCAGGAATCTCCAATACATCATACTTCATATAGTAACCACTGCCAGGATCTCATTTGCTCAAAATTGGAAAAAGGATACCATTCCCTCCGAGGCAGCAATAATATGAAAGAGCCTTGAATGTACTGAAATGGATGGGCTAACAATGATATTAAAAGATAAAAGAAGAAATAGAGTATAATAAGATATGGAACCTTTGGTATTAGGAAGAAGATACAAAGGCGTCAATCAATAGCAATAATGAGAAAATAATAATCAATGTTGTGTGTGTGTGTGTATATATATATACACATATATATACATATATATGTTTTCTGAGGTTCTCACGGGTATTAGTATGTGGATCTTTGGTTATTTGGGTTTTCTCCCATGTAAGATTGGAAGTATCTAGGCAACGTTTCGATGAAGTCTCATTCATCATCTTCAGGCTTGTGTCTTCGGCTCTGTGCTTCTCATCTGATGAACAGTATACAGAAGCCTGATGATGGCAGATGAGATTCTGCCAAAACGTTGCTACAACTTTAAAAGCACAACTACAATGACGTGGGAAAATACTCGAACAAAGCTGAATGCCATGCATGTAAGTACCCTCGAAAACTTAAGAATATATATATGAATGAAATTAGGATTTAAGTTCTTGAGCAAAGGAATTACCAGCCTTCAAAGTCCTATTATATAGCACATTATTAAATCAAAACAAACAGAAAGGCAAAAGCCACGCCTTTTTTACAATCTCATATACACCAGAGGGCAGGACACTGTCTCAGTGGTTAAAATGTTGGGCTTGTCAGCTGGAAAGCCAGCAGCTCAGGTTCAAGACTCAAGCACCATGCAAGGGGGTAAGCTCCCATCCTCGCCCTACCTCCTGCCAACCTAACAGTTTGAAAGCATGCGAGTAGATAAATAGGTATCACTTCAGTGATAGGGGAACAGTGCTGCTGGCTCAATGGCCTTGAAACAGAGCTGAACATTGTCCCCTATAGTTGGCAACAACTAGCAAAGTAAAAACTGAAAGGAGTCTTTTAACTTTATTTTGTATACACCAGAAGAATTAGGCCTTCTCATTATTACTAACTAGATATGAAAAAGTTGTAATCCAAGCTATCTGGATACTACTAGGTATGGAATGGTGTTTCAATCTTCATTTGTTCTTTTCACATCTACATTTTAGAATGGCCAACAATTAATTCATAGATGAATTTTTTGAGAGGAAAAAATAAGCATGAGGGAAAGAAAGCCTTCACCATTAAAGTGTATTGTTATTATTATTCATTGGTGCTTTGACCGAACAGTATCTGTGTTACTGAGTCGCACACTCTGCCTGATAGAAAAAGTTTAAGTGGCATCTTCTGCTACAATAGGGATTTTTTTTTTTAAAAAAAGGATTTGACTGCCCTCTGGAGGTTGCAAATTGATAATCTAACACAAAAGGAATGTAATATCAATAGATATTTTTCTGAACTAGAAAGTTATTAAGACAGAGAGAGATTTCCTCTTATGTTCAGACTTATGTTTTTAGGAACTTTTTCTCAAATAGGAGCAAATGTACCAACACCTTCAAAATCTATTTGACTGAATTTACCTGGTATAGAAAAGTTGAGAACATCCAGCAACAAGTAATCAATTATTCACATAGCAGAAAATATATGCAAATATGCATAAAATTTGTTTTGCTTACATACAGTATGCATGTCTGTGTGTCTAACAAGCGAAATCAAGAAATTTTGGAAGAGAAACTATAGAGAAAGATTGTCAAATTTGATGATTGATTGAGGGGACATAATAACTGTCTGCACTGAGGGGGCTGTCACAGAGAATTGGTCGAGTGCTTAGTCTCCAAAGCACCTGAGGGTAGGCCAAGAAATAATGGGGGTAGGGGGAGCTTGTTAAGAGAAATTCAAGGAGTAAGGAGAAATTTTGACAGGGAGAACAATTAATCAATGAAAAAGCTTGCCTTCCAGAATAGTGGGTGCTCCATTATTGGGGGTTTTCAAAAGTCGACTGGACAACCATTTGACTGGGATCTACTGCCTAGAAGACTTTTGAGGCCTTTTCTAACCCTTTGATTCTATGTTCTGTAGTGCTTCATTATTTAATGGCTGCATCTTCCCTGCTCCAAATCCTCCCCCTATCCCTGCATATGAAGAGGGAAGCATCAACTAGCAATCCTATGTGTGTAAACAGCATGAACATTAAGTTGGAGTGAAATAATAATAATTGGAGGAGAACTATCTAACCAGCCTCTTCCAATTCTTGAATGCATTTAGCTTAGCTTTCTCCAATCTGAATGTCCTCCAGATGTACAGACTTCAACTCAAAAATCTTTTAACAGCGGGCCAGCTGGCTGAGCTCTAAGAGTTGTAATCCAAATATCAGGCTGGGAAAAGCTATGTAATCCCTAAGAAATGCTGTTTAGTAGGTGTCTGAAATATATAAATAATGTTAGCACCACACTGACCTAGACTGACCTGGAAAAAGTTGAGCTGGATAATCTAACAATAAAGCAAAATGAAAGTCATAGAAGTTAGCGCTATGCATATCCAGAAAGCAATATTTTTTTGCTACAATCATAAAAGAAGCAAACAGAAGGCAAATTCTATACTTTGAGAACTTCAGTCAATAACTGAAGGCTATGAAATTATCTAAAAATAAATCTGGAAATGCCAGTATACATTTTGACTATTCAAGTGGTTTAAAAGTAACTGCATGATGTACTTACATATCATCTATGAATGTTATCCCAAAATATTCCTTTTCTTTGAGGTTGAAATGCGAAGCCACCAAATCCAATAATTCCCGTGACAAAAGCTTAGGCTATAGGCAAAAAAGGTATGTTATTCTTGCAATTTTTGTGTTCAAAACAATAATATCAAATTATCCTCCCTCTGCCCTTCATCTTTCTAGAACAGGAGTGTCAAACTCAAGGCATAGGGGCTAGACCTGGCCTCCGGAATACTTAGATCTGGCCCACGGGCCACTCTGAAAACAGCGAAGGACCGGCCCAAGGCGCTTCTGCCAGCAAAAGCAGGGTCCCGGGCTCAGTTTTTGGCTGCCACAGCCTCCTACAACCCTCTGCCAGTGAAAATGGAGCTCAGGAGGGCCACATATAGCCCTCTGAGCTCAGTTTTCACTGGCAGAAAGTTGCAGGAGCTCAGGAGCCTGTTTTCACCGGCAGAGTGCTTGGGCTACCACAAGCGCCCCGATATGAGTGATGTTGAACTGGCCACACCCACCCTCGCCACGCCCACCTCAGCCTGCCAAGGTCAAACACAACTTTGATGTGGCCCTCAATGAAATCGAGTTTGACACGCTTGTTCCAGAGTCTCAGTATCTTTTTTATAGTGTGGTGACCAAAACTAGATGCGATACTCTAGGTGTGGTCTTACTAAGGCTTTATAGAATGGTACTAGCACCTCACTTGATGCATGATTTCTCCAAGCTTGTGTCTAACCATTAAAAAGACATTCTGTTGCTTTAATTAATCACAGAGAGGTGTTACACTGGCCCAAAGTTTAAAACATTTCTTTCAAATAATTTTTAAAGAATGATCATTTGCCCTGCTGTCAATTGCCGAATCAGTGCTGCAGAAACAATAAAACTTCAGTTGTCTCACCTGAACTAGTAGCTCCAGCTTCCTATCATCCAGAAGCTGTACTTGGCAGTGTCTCCCTTCGGTCATCTGTAAAACAAATAGAAGAGCATTAATTGTAGAACAGTAATGGAATCTTGTTCCAAAGGTATACCATATAGGTCCATTTGTGTGTGTGTGTGTGTGTGTGTGTGTGTTTATATATATATGATGCCCATTTACCAAGATTACCAAGATGCCCATTTACCAAGATTGTCCTCAACTTACAATCACAATTGGGACCGGAATGTTAAATGCCTGGGAAATCAGGAGATTCAGGGCGGTTCAAATGAGTATAAAGATTTATTGCAAGCTTAAATTCTCTATAAGAATCTGGCCAATTGGCCATTAAAGGGAAATGTGCAGAAGTTAACAATAGAAAGAAAGTCAAGGCAGGCTGGACTTAGATCTCTTGTGAGCACGAAGGGACTTGTAACTTATGATGCGTTTGACCCCTCCCTCAAGTTCAGCCTTGTCATCCCCTACACAGAATTTCCATTGTTAAGCAAGGCAGGTTTTAAATAGGTCGTGCCTGGTTTTATGACTTTTTTTGGCCATGGTTGTGAAGCAAATCACTGCAGTTGTTAACCGAATCACACATTCGCTGAACAAATCTGCTTCCGCCATTGACTAAAGCATGTTGGAAGCTGACTGGAAAGGTTGCCAATGGTGATCATGTGACTCCAGGATGCTGCAACCATTGTACATACATGACAATTGCCAGCCACCTGAATTTTGATCACGTGACTGTAGGGATAAGGTATGAGATGGCCATACGTATGAGATGGTCGTAAGTCTGAGGACAAGTTGTAAATCATTTTTTCAGTGCTGTTGTAACTTTGAACAGTTGCTAAATGAATGATTGTAAGTTGAAGACTACCTATTTAGGCATATGCACCCACACATACAACATCATAACAATATTGCTCTTTCCTTCATTTCTGACCTAATTCAGTTTTTATCTCATGATTTTGTTGTCCAGGCTTCAACTGAAAGTATTTCACACGTGGTTTGTGGTAGTCTAAGTGGTTCAATGATTTAATTATGAGATTTTTGTCTCATCTATAAACTGCACCTCAATGGTTGTAATGGGAGGATCTGTTCTGGATATAAAAAAAAACCTTCCTTTCTCGCCACCCCAGCCCAATTCATAAACAATAATGGGAATCTTGACTGAAATCCAAGGTATTGTCCTCCAGGCCCTTGTTCAAATTTCAGTTCCGAATACAACTTCCCGATGTTCTTATGTACGAAACAAGCGGAGAATGTATGGGCTCAATCAATGTGATTTATAAATTATGATTTCTAGCTTGGTGAAATAAGTTATAAAATCAGCATACTGATACTTTTCATTTATCTAAAATGGACTGTGTTATGCACTGGGACAACTTTCCCCAGTCTGTCACATGCAGAGATTCCAGGATTAGATAATATTTCAGAAATATACGGTCAGGCAAAGGTGGAGGAGTGGGCTGCTGGAGGTTCACAGGGGTTTGGGAGATCCTCTAGCTAAGATTCTGCCTGCACAATTCAGAGAATCCCTAAACCCCACTCCTAGCTATTTTAGTTATTTATTTTTATTTATTTTTGTCAATTGCTTATAAGATAATAGGTATAAGTAAAAACATAGTTGTGAATACATGGATACATATAAGAAAAATAAAAAATAAAAGACACAATAGGACAGGGATGGTAGGCATGTTGGCGTGCTTATGCACACCCCCTACAGACCTCTTAGGAAAGGGGTGAGGTCAATTGTAGACAATCTAAGGTTAAAGTTTTCGGGGTTTGGGGAAGAAACCACAGAGTCAGGTAGAGTATTCCAGACATTGACCACTCTGTTGCTGAAGTCGTATTTCTTGCAATCAAGTTTGGTGCAATTAACCTTGAGTTTGTATCTATTGTTTGCTCTTGTGTTGTTATGGTTGAAGCTGAAGTATTCATTGACTGGTAGGACATTGCAATGTATGATTTTATATACTGTACTTTGATCGGACCGAAGGTGGTGTAGTTCTAGGTTTTCTAGGTCTACAATTTCAAGTCTGGTGGCATAAGGTATTCTGCAACGAGTAGAGGAGTGGAGAACTCTTCTTGTGAAAGATTTCTGGACTTTCTCAACTGTGTTAATATCAGATATGTAATGTGGGTTCCAGACTGATGAGCTGTATTCAAGTATTGGTCTAGCAAATGTTTTGTATAGTAGTTAATAGTGTAATGTTTTGTACAGCAGTTAGTAGTGTAATATTACCAGAGAAAAAGCTATGTAAGATTAGGTTAACAACTCTTAACACATTTTTGGCTATGTAGTTACAGTGGGCGCTAGCACTTAGGTCATTAGAGATGAGTACGCCAAGATCCTTGACAGAGTTTGGATCATCAACAAGGTCTTTACTATTCAGCCTGTATTTTATTTTCTGATTTATTTTTTTTGCCAATATGTAGGACAGAGCATTTATTTTTGAGATTTGAAGTTGCCATTTGCTTGACCATTCTGATACATAGTCAAGGTCTTTTTGAAGGGTTGCAGTATTGTCTGTGGTATTGAATAGCTTTACTTCATCAGCGAAGAGAACACAGTTGCTCTTAATATGATCACAGAGGTCATTTATGTAGAGTATGAAGAGTTGGTCCCAGAACACTGCCTTGGGGGACGCCACTGTTGACAGGTACAGAATTTGATAGGACGCTCCCAATTTTGACCATTTGTTTGTTTGTTTATTAGAGAGTAGGTTGTTTGTTTCTAAATGGAGGATGATGGATTGGTTAATAATTGATTCCATGACTTTACAGGTGATGCAGCATAAAGAGATTGGTCTGTAACTTTCAACTAGGCTGGGGTCTCCCTTTTTGAAGATGGGGATGGCCGTGGCTTGTGACCATAGTTTTGGCAAGGACCTGGTCCTGAAAGATTTTTCAAAGATTATGCTTAGAGGTTCGGCTATGGCAGTGGATAGCTTTTTTAAGAAGTAGGCACATATTCTGTCTGGTCCAATAGATAGAGATGGTTTTAGATTGCGTAGTGCTTTTTCAACATTGTCTTCTGTAAAATCGATATGTATTAGATCATTGTAGTGGTCTGTGGTTCGAGTAGGAAATACTGGGCATGATCCATTACTATTTACAAATACTGAGCCAAAGAATGTGTTAAAGATGTTGGCTTTAATAGTGTCGTTACAGTCTTTACCATTAGGTCCTTTCAGGGGTGGAATGGACCTTGAGTCTTTTAGTTTGTTGTTTATAAAATTGTAGAAAGCACGGGTGGAATTGGTGCACAGAAGGTTTTCTTCTTTTTTAATGTGATAATTGGTGCATTCAGTTTTTATCTGGTGGCATAAATTTTTGTATCAGCTTTTGAAGTTGGCAACGTGACCAGATTTGTTTTTCTGCCAAAGTGATTTCTTTTTGGATTGAAGCTTCCTTATTGTTATGGGTAATTTGTTTTTTCTGGTTTTGGGAGTTGTTAATGGTACATATAGTTTGATGACTCTTTTGACTTCAAGTAAAAATATGTTGTAATGGTCTTCTACAGTATTGCATCCAGAGAATAGAAATTGCCAATCAAGGGATGAGAGATCGTTGTTTATAAGATCATAGTTGCCTTTTTTGAAGTTATAATTGGGGATTCTGTCATTGTAATGATTTTTGTGTGGACGTATGTTGAGACAAAAGTTTATCATGTTGTGGTCACTGTTGGAAAAGGGTTCTTTAATTTGTATTCCATAAATTGAATTCAAACTATTGTAGAAGATGAAATCGAGGCAGTTGTTAAGTCTAGTGTTGTTGGTTACTAGTTGTTCTAGTCCCAGATTTGTTACTGCATTGTATAAGGTTACATGTGCGGGTTCAGTTGTACATTCATTAAGGGTCCAGTTAATATGAGATAAATTGAAGACACCAAGAAAGATAAAAACATGTGGGCAGGATGCTGCCCATGTTAGTAGTGTATTTAGCTTGTTTGCATGTTCAATGATATAATCAGGGGTTCTGTAACATAGTAAGAACTGAAATGTGATATTTAAGGACAGTTCACAGATGACAGTCTCAGGATTAGCAAGCTCCTGGGTAACTTGGATGTTTTTTAGATATAAGGACTTTTTATAGAAAATAGCAACACCATCTCATCTACGGATTTCATGATCTGATCGGTAAACATGATAGTCTCTTACTGTGGTAATGGAGTCAGGGAGAGATGCATTGAGCCATGTTTCACAGACAAATATAATGTCGAATTTAGCTGTATTTAGTAAGAGGAGAAATTCAGGTATTTTATTTACAAGGCTTCTTGCACTGAGTAGCTTGCATTTAAGGCCAGTTGTGGTTGGAATAGAGGTAGTTAGGGGCGTGCATGCCTAGTTTTGAGTGATGTTGGATTGGATGGGGTTGGGTTGGATGCGGAGTTGTGGGTTGTGTGACTTTCTTTTGATTCAATCAGCTCAGTAGTCAATGTATAGATCCTTTTCTCCATTGTCTAGATGGTTTTTGAGTTCTTCACGGAGTTCATGGGAGTGGATTCTTTGCAGTATGGATAAACCTGGTCTTGAGCGAAGTTTTTTGTGGTTGGGATTGGTTTTTGCAATGGTGTTTATTATATGAATGAATATGTGTTTGCTGGACTCATTTTTGCATACAACTCTACAAAATCTTGGGGCCATAGAGCCGTCATTGTATTTGTACCCAGAGCCATCTCTGGTTATTTCAATGATATCTTCAGGAGAGATGTTTGTTGTATTAGAGTTGCTTATGATATCGCGAACTTTGGTGATGCTAGTCCCACCCACCACCCTGCGCCTCATTGGAGTCCACACATGGCCCGTTTTGGAGGCAGGTACGTGCAGGGCATGCGTGGAGGCGAAAAATGGGCCTCCCGGAAGTTTGGGAAGGCCAGAAACAGGCCCATTTCTGGCTTTCAGAGAGACTCCAACACCCGGGGAAGCTGTTTTTGCCCATCCAGAGGCTCAAGGAAAGCTTCCGGAGCCCAGGGAGGGAAAAAACACCCCCCATGGTGTAGGAGGACAACTAAGCCACGCCCACCATGGCCATGCCCATCCAGC